GAGTGTGAGGGTATGGGATTAAAAAAACTACATATTGGGTACAATGTACACTACTCGGGTGATGAGTGCACTAAAATCTCAGAATTTACCACTATAGAATTCATCCATTTAACCAAAAACCACTTGTAAGACAAAAGTTATTGAAATTAAAAAAAAAAAAATTAAACAGTTATTGAGCAACTACTATGTTCTGGGTTCTAATTCAGGGGTGGGCAAACTATAGCCCCAGAATTTGGCCCACAGCCTGCTTTTGTACGGACTGAGAGTTAAGAATAGTTTTTACACGTTTAAAGGATTGCAAAGACAAACATACAAAGAAACAAAGAAGACTGTGCAACAGAGATCATCTGCGGTCTGTAAAGACTAACACATTTCTATCTGGCCCTTGACAGAAAGAGTCTGTGGGCTGCTGGTCTCCTCTAACGGTGGTAGAGATGCCTACACGGTTAACATTAATCCTTGGCACCAGAATCCTCAGCACCTAGGAACCAGATCTTGCCTAATACACTAATTTCAGTCTCGATCACCTTCCTCCGGCGTAGCGGTTCTCAAACGTCTTTGTCTTTGTGCTATTCGCGTATAAAATATTCTTTCATAAGCAACACTTCTCCTTTTAGGAGTACCTCATAATGGGGAGAAGGGGAACCCCAACACCCTTTAAGGGTTCACTGCTTCGCTGCCACCATTTCCGACGGTTTACACTGTTTTAAATGTGGATCTGGAATTGTTTTCAAGTTAAAAAGCAAAGGAATCATGTCCTCTGAAAATATTTGCTTTTGGCATGCTATAAATCAGTGTTGACTTTTGATACTGATGTGGTACATTAGGAGGGAATTCTCAAAAATGCTGAAATCTGGCCCCGGCCCAGTTATCACTGCTCTTAAGTTGCTGAGGGAGATACATGAATGAGCCCACGGCAAATGGAAAATGAGGAGTTTCAGTGTTTCCTAGAATTATGCTCAGCTACCCAGTACCTGACTGTCTGGTTATCCTTCCCTTCACCTCCCTGATGCAAGGAGTTTGGACCAGAGGCCTAAGGGGGCTTCTCCTGAAGCCCAAATCCCAAACTGGTCACCAGTCATGCTCCGTAACTCCTAAACCTGACAATAAGCCAGCCGGCCAGGTCTGCAGCCCGGGTTAAGAGGAGCATACCAGGAAACAGCCAAAGAGCAAAGGACCATGAGCCCTTCAACCGCTTTTACAATAATTTGGGCTAGGCGTTCAGGGCTCCGTAGGACCCTTCCTGGCAGCCAAGTGAGAGTGAGAGAAAGAGGAATGACGGTGCTTCCCGTTACTTCCACACTGTTGAAATAGAAGTAGAAGCAGAAAAGAACACCCTACAAGTCCCACCCATTTTGAGGCACTCAACTCACAGTGACAACCCTCCACACCTCTCCCCCGCAAAAAGACGCATAACAAAAACACCTACTCCAAACTGTGTCCTTATATCTCAGCCCTGAAGATCAGTATTGTGTGCCACTTCGGCCCAAAGGATGCATTTCCCCAGGGTTGAAAGTCTGAGAAAGAGGCTATATTCCGAAGGGTTCTTGTTGTCACCATCAAAAGGATCAAAAAGACGCAATAAATAAGAAAACAGCTTAGTTGGGTTGCATGCTCCATTTGAGCCAGTAAGCCTTGGAAACTTAAGTGTTTTCAAATGGAACGCCATCCTGCTTTTGGGGAACACGGAGGCTGCCTTGCAGTCACATGATCGCACACCACCAAAGGGCCACGCACTCTGATTTCACCCACTTAACTAAAAGTTGCAGCAAAATCCCTATTACAGGCCAGGCGTGGTGGCTCATGCCTGTAATCCCAGCACTTTGGGACCCCGAGGAGGGTGGCTCATTTGAGGTCAGGAGTTGGAGACCAGCTTGGCCAACATGGTGAGACCCCGTCTCTATTAAAAATACAAAAATTAGCCTAGCATGGTGGTGCGCGCCTGTAATCCCAGGTACTCTGGAGGCCGAGGTAGGAGAATGGCTTGAACCCAGGAGGCGGAGGTTGCAGTGAGCCGAGATCACGCCACTGTGCTCCAGCCTGGGTGACAGAGTGAGACTCCATCTCGGGGATGGGGGGCGGGGGGAATCCCTATTACAAATAAAAGCTGTTGTGATCCACACTGCATATACCTCTGGGAAAAGAACCGGAACCGTGAATTCCAATGCAAATTGATGCATCGGCACCGGACCCACTGCATTGGACACGTTTGCATTGCAGTCACCCCAGTACGGAGCACATCACAGATGATCTCTGCAGGTTCGTTGCCCACATAGGAGGCAGGCATAGTGCAGATTTCAAAGGAACGAACACATCCTGGAGCCCAAAGAGCTATCTGGTTCTGCTTCTGGCCTCCTGACAAGTAGGGAAGAGAGTCACATTTTATAGACGAGGGACACCAAAACCACACATGAGGAGTGCAAGAGTAGCTTTATCATGGATTTAGGGCTGTGGTTACAAGGAAGCTGTAAGGAGTAAAATGACTCCCCTGCCACGAAGACGTACTGTGCGGACGAGTGGAAGGAGAAATGTGGCCATTACAAAGACACAGAAATACGTTCAGAAATGAGGGGCAGGATGAAATCATCTAGGGTAGGTATTTAGAGGGAGAGTGCCGTGCAAAATAAAATCCTCACTATGAAACAAAGGCGGAGGCAGGAGGCTGCGTTGGGTGGAAGAAGCAGAGGAAGGAGACGAAAGGGACTGTCATTTTCATGTCGTGGCTTTTTAGAAGACGGCGGTGTCCTCTACTCTGATTCTATCAAAGTGTGTTCTTGGGATGCAGGTAACGTTCAGCCAACGAAATAATTCCTATGGCGGCAACAGGAATAACAAAACGCAGAAGCGGGAACGATGTCTTTTTTATTCCTCCCCAGATGCAAACGTGGATGTGTGAGGTTTGGTAACAGGCAAAGTCATCTGGTTCACGTGACTGATGGGAATCCCCTGCGGTCTGGGCAAAAAGTCACTGGGTGAATGGGATGGATCAGACTCCCTGTCCTGAGGGGGAGACGGTTTCTTGCAGAACGAGGTGAAGGAGGTGGTTCTGCTCAGCAGTCAACAGTGGCCACATCTCCACCTGCAGCGACTTGATGGCTTCCGTGTCCTTTTCGTGGGCAGCCATGACCAAAGACTGGAGCAGCAGAAAGAGCTCCTCGGGAAGCTGGCCGCTGCTCTCCTGCCCGTGGCTGTCAAAAGCCTCCCAGGAGTACTTCTCCAGGGTCTGGGCGTGCTCCGGCAGCAGCTTGGCCGGCGGTGGTTGTAGGAGGAGCAGCAGCAGCACGCGGGACACCTCGCAGCGGACCAGCACGTCCGAGAAGGCGCCCAGGGCGGCGGGAGAGGGCGCCGCCGAGCCGGAGTTTGGAGGAAGCAGCGCGGTCGGTAGGGCGGGGGTCGCCCCGGGCCCGGGCCCGGGCTGGGGCCCCGGCGGCGGGGGCGGCGGCAGTGACTGCACCGGGTGGCTGCCGTGCTCCCGCGCCAGGCGCTGCATGCGCGTGAAGACCGCCAGGGCGCCGGTGTAGTCGCGCGCCAGCAGCTGGCAGGAGGCGGCCTCGCCCAGCGCCTGCAGCGCGGCCAGGGGCAGCTGGGGCAGCTGGAGCTGGGCGGCGCGCTGGAAGTGACCGGCGGCGGCGGCCGGCTGGCCCAGGTCGCGCAGGGCGGCGGCCAGCTCGAGGCAGAGGGCGGCGGCGGCGGCCGGCTGGCCCAGCTCGAGGTGCAGACGCACCGCGGCGCCCAGGGCGCTGGCGGCGGCCTGCAGCGGCTCCCCGTAGGCGGCGGGGCAGACCAGGCGCTGGCGCGCGTCGCGCTCCTGCCGCAGGAAGAGGCGGGCGGCCTCGGTGAGGGCCAGCGCCTCCCCGGGCCCGTGGAAGAGCGCCTGCTGGCAGCGCGCCACCGCCAGCTGGCACCAGGCCGCGTACGGCAGACACTCCTGGGCGCGCAGCTCCCGGCCCAGCTGTCCGAACTGCTCGCCGGCCTCCGCCACGTTCGGCTTCCGCAGGAACCGCTTCTTCAACTTGTTCGATACCAGCCGGTAGCGGGCCAGGAAGTCCCCGGCCTCGGGTCCCGAGCCGGCGCCGCCGCCCAGGCCGGCCGCCGCCGCCGCCATGCTCGCCGCCCCAGGCACTTCCGGACGCGCTGCCGCAGCTGGCGGACGGGCGGGACGGGGCGGGGCGAGGCGGGGCGACGTGCCCTGCGTCCCCCTTGGCGGGCTGCCGGCGTGCCGGCGCCCGCTCCCCAGCCCGAGCGTGCCCCTTGCCCTGGTGATGTGCAAAGAGCGGGATCGGAGGCGGGGCCTGGCCGGGCTGTGAGCGGCGCATGCAAATCCAGGGTCTCGGGGATGCGGAGCCAAGACCCTGGGAAGGTACGCGGGGCCTGGCCGGGCGCCAGCTGCTGCTAGCTCGGCTGCAATGCAGATGGTCTCGCTTGCTGAAGGCCTCCCACAGCCTCTCCATCTGAACATGACCCAAACTAAACTCGTGACCCTAATTCCGTGTCCGTGCATTTCTCGACTGTTTTCCCCCCACCGCTCACTCCTCCATCTTCCTGTCCAGGGCCCCTTGCCAAGCGCCGGGTCCACCTCTCCGTCCCCAGCCCGGTTGCCTTTAGGAGTCCATCCTGTCGCAACGCTGCAGTCATGGTCTTGAGGCCCACCCGCCCCAACGAACGCCATCATGCTGAGGACTTTCCCGGGCAGGCCCTGACTTGCTCAGAACCAGCGGGGGTGTCCCCTTCCCACCCAGGGCCAGTCCCCTGCACTGTCACCGGGAGGGACCGCTCCTCTGTGCCATCCCTGACTCCCACCCAACCCCAGACCCCCACCACCTCTCCATCCCTCCAGCTGTGGAGGTCTCACAACCCCCCACCCCACTCACCGCCCACGCCCCCAACACACCCCATGTCACCGCCCAGCCCCCCACCCCATGTCACCACCCACCCACCCCCACCCATCTCACCGCCCACGCCCCCCCCACCCCAAGGCAAAGTGACTGAAGCAGGCAGGTGGGTTCCTTTAAACATTTTATTGACAGAATTAATGAAGACCCAAGACTTTGGGGCCCGGGTGGTGGGGGTTGATTTAAGGCCGGGGGTTCGGGCCGGGGGATTTGAGGCCGGGGAGTTTGGGGCTGGGTGGGTGGACGAGTGGACCTGCCAGGTCCCAGGGGCCGGGCGTCAGAAGCTAGTCCCCGCCGGGGGCCACTTGAGAGATGGTGGTTGTGTCAAAAAGGGTGCTCAGCAGCCTGTTGTTGTGAACCGCCATGTCCAGCAGCAGTGGAGTGATGTTCCTCTCTCCGTTGTTCTGGGCCTCGTTGCCCGCCAGCTCCAGGACCTTGGCCGTCAGGTACTCGATAACCGCAGCGAGGTAGACCGGCGCCGTGGGACTCAGGCGCTGAGCGTAGTGGCCCTCCCGTAGACCGCGCTCCACCTGGCTCACCGAAAACGAAAGCTCCGCTCGGACGGTGCGAGAGCGGGTCCGCCCCCGGCCACCAGCCCTGGAGGACCGGCGATGGCTCCTCCTCTCCGACATGCTGGGCGTTGAGTGTGCTATCTCGGCTTGCCCTAGCTAGACAAGATGGCTCTCAAGATGACAGTTACCGCGTCCAGTACTGTGTATCCTAGCGACCAGGGCCCAGCCCCTCATTGGCTGGGGAGCCGAAACCAATGGGCACGCACGTCCGGTGAGGGGCACGCACGTCCGGTGAGGGGCACGCACGTCCGGTGAGGGGCACGCACGTCCGGTGAGGGGCACGCACGCGGTGAGGGGCACGCACGCGGTGACGGCCTCACAAGGGACACGTCCATCAGGTGACCTCAGCGCTTTCCCATTGGCCTCGAGGGAGCAGGCCTGGGCCTAGAAGTGACTGGAGGGCCATGGTGGGGGGAGGGGAATCCCGCTCGTGACCCTCTCTCTGCCAGTGGGGACTCTCCCTTTCTACTGGATGGGAACATTGTGGGAAAGACAGAGGGGTGGGCGAGGGGAGAGTGGGTACCACGCCTTCACAATGTTGCACATCCGTCACAACCACCTAGTTCCAAAACATTTTCAACACCCTCAAAAGAAACTGAAACCCCTGCACCTATAAGCAGTCACTTGCCACACGCCTCCTTCCACACCGCCACTACCAACCCCCACACCCCGCCACACACAGCCCTCTCCCCCCGCCCATACGTACGTTCCCGATAGTCCCTGGCAACCACTTGTCAATCTGCTTTCTGTCGGTAGAGGTTAGCCTGTTTTGGAGATTTCCTATAGATGGAATCGTACGACCAAATGTGAGGCCTTGTGTGTCTGGCTGCTTTCACTTAGCATAATGGTTTCATCAGGGTTCATCCATGTTATTCACTGCTAGAGTATGGAAATACCACTGATTGTTGCAGATTGATCTTGGGTACTGCAGCTTTGCTGAGCATACTCAGATAGGGTTGGCGTATTAGTCCGTTTCTACACTGCTATAAAGAACTGCCTGAGAATGAGTAATTCATAAAGAAAAGAGGTTGAATTGCCTCATGGTTCTGCAGGCTGTACAGGCTCTGCTTCTGGGCAGGCCTCAGGAAACGTGCAATCATGGCGGAAGGCGAAGGGGAAGCAAGCACCTTCTTCACATATTGGAGCAGGAGAAAGAGAGAGAGAACGTGCGCGAAGGGGGAAGGGCTGCACATTTTCAAACGATCAGATCTTGTGAGAACTCTATCACAAGAATGGCAAGGGGGAAGTCCGCCCCCGTGATTCTGTCACCTCCCACCAGGCCCCTCCTTCAACAGGTGGGGATTACAATTCGACATGAGATTTGGGTGGGGACGCAGAGCCAAACCATCTCGGGTTTTTCTTTTTTTTCCTTTTGATGGACTCTTTAGTGTCCTCTATATAAGAACATGCCATCTATGCACGTATGAATAGAAATGGTTTTACTTGTTCCTTTGCAATCTGGATGCCTTTTATTTCTTTTTCTCGACTAATTGCCCAGACTAGAACTTTGAGTACGATGTTGAATTAGAAGTGGCAAGAGAAGACATCCTTTTCTCATTCCTGATCTTAGGGGGAAGTCAACCAGTCTTTCACCATTAAGTATGATATTATCTCTGGGTTTTTCATGGATGCCCTCTACCAGGTTGAAGAAGTTTCTTTCTATTCCTGGTTTGTTGAATGTACTTTCATGAAAGGGTATTGCGTTTTGTCAGATGATCCTTTTTGTACATGATTAAGATGACCATGAGTCTCCCCCGCCCCCGCGCCCCCCGCCGCTCCACCATGCATTCTGTTAATACGGTGTATTATATAAGTTGATTTTCACATGTTGAACCAACCATTAATATGGTGTATTATATAAACCGATTTTCACATGTTGAACCAACCTTACATTTGTGGGATAAATCCTGTTTGGTCATAGTGTATAAAGAGTGGTCGATAAACATTTCGTTGAAAGAATAGGAGTGGATCTGGCAAGCTTCTTGGAGGACAGTGCGTGTGTTAAAGAATCTGTAGCATGATGAGAAGCCAAGGCACTGGTGGGAGGAGGGGAGTTGCAACCAATTCATTAAGGCTGGAGAGTAGGATGCCAGTGGAGTAGTAGTGGTTGATGTGGCTGGGAAAGAGGTAGGCAGGAGCCAAGACATGGAGGCTCTATTATACCATGCTCAGGGTTTAGAATACCCTGTAGGCTACACTGAACCCACTGTGGTCTTTCAGCTTGGGAGTGACATGGTCTGATTTGCCTCTAGAAGGATCACTCTGGAAGCTGCATGGAGAATTGAACAGAGAGGATTGTGTGTGGAGAATAGAACAGAGAGGACTGAGATTGGAATTAGAAAGCTGCTGTATTATACCAGTCAAGAAATGACAGATATCTCAACTAAGACAATGGCATTGGTAGATAAGATTAGGGGACAGAGTCCATGCAAAGTTTAGGTAGTAAAATGGCACACAGTAGGCACTCACTACATATTACTCATACTGGCGAACCTAGCTGGAGACATGATAATTCATTGTCTCATTCTTCAAAAAATATTGAAGGGTAGCGCCAGGCATACTGTGTTAAGCATTGAGACAACACCAACGAGAAATATAGATCAGATCCCTGCATGCAGTCTGGTGGAACATACAGACAAGGAACCAGTGTATAATTATAACACTATACTGTGATAAGTGCTATGAGAGGGGAAGTTCAAGGTGCTGGTTATAGTTTGGTTTGTTTGACCCCTCCAAATCTCATGTGGAAATTTGAAACCAGTGTTGGAAGGTGCGGTCTAATGGAAGGTGTTTGGGTCACGGGGTGGATCCTTCATGAATGGCTTGGTGCCAGCCTCACAGTAATGAGTGAGTTCTCACTTGATTCATTCCCACAAGAGCTGGTTGTTAAAAAGAGTGTAGCACCTCCCCCTCCCCCCGCAACCTTGATTCCTCTCTCACCATGTGATCTCTGCACTTGTCGGCTCCCCTTCACCTTCTGCCACGAGTGGAAGCAGCCTGAGACCCTCACCAGAAACCAAGCAGATGCCAGCACCATGTTTCCTATACAGCCTGAAGAATCATGAGCCAGATAAACCTCTTTTCTTTATAAATTACCCAGCCCCTCAGGTATTCCTTTATAGCAACACTGATGGACTAAGAAATTGCTGTAGGAACACATAAGAGGAGTAATTTACACAGACTTTTGGGATTGGGGAAATGTTCCTGGAGAAATGGTGTCCAATATGAAGCTTGAAGAATGAGTACAAGTTAGCCAATTGGAAAAGTGGGGCATTGGTTGGCAGGGAAGGGGCATGGCGATGGGGAAGTGAAAAAGCTCTAGTATGACTCCACAGGGGTAGAGTGAGCTGACTACAGACTTTGGAGTCATTCCTGGACAAATGGGATGAAGGAGGAGGTCTGCGTATGGGTAGGAAGATGAGTTCAGTCTCGAGCATGTGAAATTTCAAATGCTTGTGGGATATCCATATGGAGATGAAGGATATTTGGCTTAGGAGTTCAGGAGTGAAGTTAATACTGAAAATATAGATTTGCGACTCATCAGGGTAGTTCTTGAAGCCATGAATGTAGTTGAGACCATTCAGAGAGAGCACATAGAATATATAAGGGGACCAAGGACAACTTCTTTTAAGGGGCAAGCAAAAGAGGAACATCATTGGAAGAAGACTAGAGGAGTGTCTCCACAGATAAAGTTGGTGTGGGGCGGGTGGAGGGGGGGGCATGCTGAAAGATAATCAAGCCAGAAAGAGATGAGAGCAAAGGTTCAGAAGGAAGCCAGAGGAACTGAACAAGAAGTGACAAACTCAGAAACACTTGCTGAGTTCCAAAATGATAAGCATTAAAACCTGTTCACTGAATTAAGCAATGCAAGTGTTGCTGGGGGCCTTGGCAAGAGCAATTTCAATGGAGGGGTTGGAGGCAGAAACTAGACCAGACTTGTACTAGGAGCTCGTGAGAAATTCCAAGACATATCTTCCCAATACTGGGCAGCATGATAAATGTCCACATTAGAGAGAACTGGTGAGCAGGCCATGCTCAGCCAAGGCATTTTACATGCCTAATGGAATCTTGCGTAGAAACCTTCTCCAAGCGTAGAGGTAAGGGTAGGTCTGATGGCAACAATCTCACTTACTTTTCCTTCGTCTGCGAATGTCTTGATTTCCCCTGCATTCCTGAAGGTAATTTCACTTTGTAGACAGGGTTGCAGTTCTTTTGTTTCGCCACTGAGAAGTGTTATGCCGCTTCCTCTGGCCTCCATGATTTCTAATGAGAAATATATTGCCATTCTACTTGCTTTTGCCATATAGGTGAGGTTTCCTTTCTCTCTCTCTCTCTCTGCTTTTGAGACATTTTTCCTAGGTCTTTAGTTTTCAGAAGTTTGACTGGGATGCTTCTTAGTGTAAGTTCCTTTAAGATTATTCTGTTTGGGGTTCACTCAGCTTCTTAAATGTATAGGTGTGTGTCTTTTGCCATATTTAGAATCTTCCAGCCATTATTTATTTGAATACTTTTTCAGTCCCACCCCCTTCCTCCTTTCCTTCTGGCACTACTACGATGACACAAAAGTTAGCTCTTTTGTCATATTCCCACAGATCCCCAAGTTTCCACTCATTTTTTCCCCCAGTCACTTAGGCTCAGGCCACATGTTCTGACTGGGGGTTTTAATGTTAGTTCCACTTCAAAGCCTTTCCAATGGTATTTGGTTCTGTTAAGCATGATCAGCAGTCTTGGAGCTGGCGAAGTCTATATCCCTTACTCAGTACAGTTCTCGAAGTCCTTTGTATGTTGTATAGGATCACATCTGTACATACACAGCTTGGGGGTAAGCCCAGAAGTTCATACACAGCTTCATGGGTTTACTTTCCCAAGCACTTCCTCCCTCCCTGCAATCTCCCCAGCACTTTCTGGTTCCCTCAGCTTCCCCTTTTTAACCTTCTAGCCAGAAAGCTGTTGCTATTGCTTTAGGTACTCTTCTCTGCCACACACTTCCTGTGCCTTTGCCTTCCTCTGGTGTCATTCAGCAGGAAGACCAAAGAGAGAAAAAAGAAGGCATGGGCACCCTCTTGGGACCTACAATCAGGGAGGAAGGTTACTTTCCTTCAGAGTTTTAATCACCTGAAGGCCCTGGCGGCTGCCACTGTCACTGTCTCTACCTCTGACACCACCACTGCTGCCACAGGATTGCCTGTGGGCTAGAACATGAAAGTACGAAGAAAAGAAGAAAGAAAAACCGGGGATCCCCTTAACTATCGCTGAGGGTTGGTATTCCCTTTTCCCTCTTCTCAAGTCAGAACCAGAGCTCTCTCTGTTCACACCACTGTCTACTTCTAACTTGCAGGCTACATTGAGCCAAGGATACTAAAGGGGGAAAATGTCAAATTCACTGCTCTTTCAGTGGTGCTTCAAGTTGTATGTAGTCTTTCCCCAGTCTGCCTCCTTCCATATACTTTTCAGAGTCTTCAAATAGCTGGCCCATGCACTGTGTCCACATTTTATAGCTGCATTCAGTAGAGTGTGCATGCTTCATCTCGCCCAGGAGCAGAAACATTCTGGAGATGTTACATTTTACTTTTATATTTAAGTGGAACAAATTTGTTCCCTTGTAAGTAACTGATTTTGTGTGTGTGTGTGTGTGTGTGTGTGTGTGCGCGCGCGCGCGCTTAGGTGCAGAAAAAAATTCTTTGATTTTGAAGTACCATAACACAACTAGAATATATCTCAATATTGATTGTCCTGCATCAATTTTTCCTGGTAGAGACTTTGTCCTTTTGAGGAGCAGGTTCAATTCTTCCTTTATTTCTGGAAACTTTTCACATACGGCATCTGTGGATATTTTTCTATTCCATTTATTAGGCTCTTTACTTAAGGCATGTAAGTTATCGTAATGTTGGATAAGCATTAGCGTGACCACCTAAAGTTCTTCCTCCATGCGCTTGTTTTGATTTGTATGCATATCTCTTCTGCATCTTGCTCTTCCTAATTTACTTCTTTGATCCACCATGTGGTTCTTTGGGTTCTCGGTTTCTTTTCTGAGCTCAGTAATCTCCTTTTTTAAAAAAA